CAAGTTCAATTTAATTCAGTAGTGCTCAAGTATTTGTCACGTACAGTTTTTGCTCAGCCTAGGAGAACATCAAGATGACTAGCACACTAGACTTGCCTTGTAAATGGGAGGGTTCCCTCTCTTCTCAAGGCTCTTACAATCTTTGTGGTTGTTTTGTTCATTAGTCATGGCCAACTTTGTGACCCCATTTAGGGTTTTTTTGGCAAAGATACTGGAGTGGTTTGCCATTTCCTTCTCCAGCTCATTTTACATGTAAGGAAACTGAGGCAAACAGGATTAAATAACTTGCCCAGGGTCACACAGCTAGTAAGTGTGTGAGGCCAGATTTGAACTCAGGAAGATGAGTCTTCCTGACTCCAGGCCTGTGCTCTATCCACCTAGCTGCCTACAATCTAGTAGGGGTAATAAGGCCTGCAGCATAGCAGTGGAAAGAGGGTGGAAGATAGAGGATGAATTCAGGCTCTGCCTCTTTCTATCTGTGTGACCTTGGGTGAATCACAACCTAATTTTAAAGGTCTCTTCCAACTCTAAATCAGTCAACTGATTATATTATATACTTAACACAACAGATGACTGTCTTTTGTTTTGCTTTTGATTTGGAATCAGAAGACAGGTTGGAATCCCGGCTCTCCTATTTACTAATTGTGTGACCTTAGGCAAGTCACATGAACTCTCTGTATCTTTTTTCCTCTTCTGTAAAATGAGAGCATTGGATTAGATGACCTCTAAGGTTTCTTTCAGCTCTGGCTCCTACAATCCTAAGGTGTGCCATAGTGGAATTTAGCTGGACTGCCAACTTGCCAGAAATCCCATTCCTAGTCTCCAAGACCATGAAGAACATGGGTCAGTCAGTCAGTCCTGAAGCATCTATTAGGTGTTTACTATGTTCCAGGCTATAGACAGCTAGGTAGTGCAGGAAATAGAGCTCTGGGCCTGGAGTCAGGATGACCTGAATTCAAATTCAACCTCAGACACTTATTAGCTGTATGACTCTGGACAAGTCACTTAACCTTGTTTGCCTCAGTTTCCTCATATGTAAAATGAGCTGGAGAAGGAAATGGCAAACCACTCCAGTATCTTTGCTAAGAAAATCCCAACTGGGGTCATGACAAGTCAGACACAACTGAAATGACTGAAGAGTGACAACAACAACTACAATGTTCCAGGCACTGTGCTGAGCAGTGAGGATAAGTGGAAAACACAGGAATTCCTTGTGGTAGAGAAGGGTTGGAATGAGCATGGGGGTCAGGATCACTGGATCAGACTAGCACAATACTGCACCATGTAGCACAGTGTCCATGCTTGTGGTCCAGTAGAAAGAACACTGGCTGTGGAGTCAAAGGACTTGAGATTAAACTGATACTACTAGTGTGACCTTGTATTTAACCTCCCTGGGCCTCAATTTCCTCATCTGTAAAATATGGGAGTTGGACTAGATCACCTCTGAAATCCCCTCTAGATCTAGCTCTGTGATCCTCTGGGCTGCCTCTCTCTACACTTTTTTTTTTTGCAGGCCCCATAGGAATGGGTTGCCCATTTAACAGGGCCACTATGTATATGAGCTCCCATGGTATGCAGTTAAAGCAGGATTTCCTATGGGGAAGGGACAGTCTAGGGATCAGCTCCCTGAAGGTAAAAGCATCTTTTCCATGCTCTCTGGAAGCCAGGCAGAGCAGCATTCACTGGCAGGGAGGAGCTTACAGGGACAGCAGCATCTTCTTCTGTAATAAAGCAGAGTGGAGCGGGAAGTACTATGGAGGGTGCTCTGCTGCTGAGGTAGTCTCCCCATAGGATAGCAGACTCTGGGTCCTGGAAGGTTCCAGAAGCTCCAGGGCCTCTAGGCAGACAGGGACCAGTGACCTACCTTGTGGTACCAGGGGAGAATTCTTGACCTATGCTTCTTTTCTATGTCCCAGAGCCATACAATAATATCAGACGAATTAGCATGAAAAATATAGACTTTTGTTTCAAGAAGTTTGGGGTCATTAGGACAATAGCAATTTTCCAAAGGCAATCTACTCCACTTTTCTCCTGCTGTTCAATGCTGGGTCCAATTCATTGTCCATTTGCAGTATCTGTATAAGATACACTCACAGACACACAGAGTTAGATAAACTCTATAGGATCTACACTCAACTGCATATAATATAATTTGGACAATAGACATTCTTCATCCACTTAGTTTTTTCTGTATGGATAGTCAGGCCATAATCTTTTCAGTGGTCATGGATTATGTCCAGGAAGCCCTGTGATGTTTTGAGACTTGATGCAATTACCATAATGTGATTGACAAAGAAGAGAATCTGGAGGACCTCACAATCTAGAGGAAATCCCTCCTCTGATGCAATGCTGGATTTCTTCCATGACCCTGGTGAGCACCTTTGGGTACTTAGGTTCTTCTGCTTTATCTCTTGCCTTTCATTAATGATCATAGAACAAGCTTATCTCTGTGGTCATATCTTTCAAGGATCCTTACGTGATATTTGTGTGGCTACATAGGAGATGCCTCATTGGAGGAGAGCCATGAAGGTGGGCATTATGTTCTCCTTAATCACTTTTTTAGTCAACAAACAATCAACATGATGGGAATCGTGTTCTCCACAGCCTTCACTCGATCGTGTGATGGTGAAGATGTGGTCTACTGCGAGACATTGCTTGTAAAAGTGATTGTGTTCCTTTCTGATACTGTCATCAAGGGTAGTGTGTGTAGACTCTATTCCCCAAACCATTTCACAGAGGCAGGAAGGTAGGCTAGTAGCTGTCCTTGAATGGTGTGCACACAAGCCTTGGTTTAGTGGCTGATGAGTAGAGCCCTCTTCTTCTCTCAGTTGAGTGCCCAGAGCAATGGGTCCTCCAGAGCACATGCAGGGGCCTCAAGTGGTTGAAGCTGTAGGGGAGCTCCTCTCTCCCCACCCGCATAGTTTGTATTGCTTCCCTTGTGTACCCAGGGATGACGGGTCAGACCCCACTTTAAGGGAACCTCCTAGGGAGGTCTGAGGTTTGCTAGGTTTTGGATCTTAGTGACTCAGGGGACCTAGGCCAGGCAGAAATCCCTGGGCACATCCTAGATCTTCAGGGTAAATCTCAAGAGGTTCCTGGGTCATGGGAAGAAAATCTCAGATTTGTGTTACCTTAAAGAATCGCTGATCCTCACATCATATGCAGCCCTAGGAGGGGCATTGGGTATTTGTTTTGGCACACGTGCTGTCCTGCAAACACGTTCACAGCTCTGTGATGATTCACTTTCCTGAGCAGGGAAAAGTCAGCCATGACTCTACTCCCGAGGAGCTGGGAGCAACAAAGTCTCCCTCACCCAAGGGTCCAGGGAACATTCTGCTTTTGGAGGGAGGATGAAAAGAAAGGACATGAGACCAGGTTGGCATGGGCACAGGTGGTCCAGGGCCTGGGTGCCCTCTTGGCCTCCAAGCTCATAGGTGTAGAGTAGGCCTTGTTCTAACTCCAAGGTTGGGGTTGAGGCCCACTCTAGCCCTTCCTCTCCCTGAGCCTGTCTTGAACCTAGGCCCCTAGAAGTGAGGGAGCAGAAAGCTTTCTGTAGTAAGGAGCTCTCCAGGTGTCCTAGGTAGTAGCAGGAAAACTGAGACACAGCTCCTTGCCAACATCAGAGAACAGATTAGAAGGATGTCCACTTTATCAAAAGCTCAGAAGTAGCATGCCCTGGGAGCTCAGGGAGACCAGATCCCTGCCCACACTCAGCCAACAGGCAGCATCAGACAAGACATGGGCAGTAAAGGGGATCTTCAGGGCATAGGCAGATGATCTGTGGTGGGGAGAATGAGAGATCCAGCGAACACAAAGGGCTAGGGGGGAGGAACAACATACAAAACACTGTTATCAGGCACCTGAGATGTATCTGTTTAGTGTCTCCAAGGCAAAAAGGAACAGTACTAGATTATATGAGCAGAATCTCAGCATGTCAGGGGTCATTGGTGCCGACTTCCCACCTGATAGAAGAATTTTACTATGACAGCTCAGACTGAGTCATCTAGACTCTGCTTGAATACTTCCTGAGATAGCGAGTCCACTATCATTTGAGGTAGCCGGGTCTGTTATTAGACAAATACACTTCCACGAAAGTGGAACAGGTTACTGCTGGACGTGGTGGGTTCTCCCTCTTTGGAGGTCTCCAGCTGGAGTCTGGACAATGTCTTGTCACATATGACAGTTGGGGTCCTCAAATCCTGTGATTCTGATACTTGTTTGAAAGGTCTTCCTTTTATTGAACTTCAATCTGCCTCCCTACAAGTGTTTTCTTTTGGTCTCAGTTCTGCCCTTTGGAATGACACAGAGCAAAGCCTAAAGCAGGGGTGGGGAACCTGTGGCCTTGAGGTCACACATGGCCTTAATAAAAGGATTTCTTCTATAAAACTTGGACTCAGTCAAAAGGCTGCACCTGAGGACCTAGAAGGCCACGTGTGGTGGAGGCCACAGGTTCCCCACCCCGGGACTTTAAAGCCTCTTTCCTGTGGGGGTCCTTCAAATGCCTGAGGCTGACTAGTCTTCTCTTCCCTGGGTCTTCAGTGGACTGCTCCGGCTGAGATCTGCCTTGAGGAGAGTCCTAGAGGCTATCACCCTTGATCACTGGGGAGCTAAGGACTTGATTTCTCCAGCCTGGATTTTGAATTCGCATTTCTCCCCGAGGTGGGTCCTCATTGTTTACCTCTGAGTCATCTCTGGTAATGATTGAACCACATGAATCTGGGGACGTTTCAGACTTAGAATTCAACCTAAACAGACCCCTTCCTATGAAAGAGTCAGACTTCACCAACAGACGGGATGGGAACAGGAAACTACATGCTATTCTTTTGTTCTCTTTTCTTTTTTCTGGAAGGGCTGCCAAGAGGAAGATGTAGCCCTCATCCCCAAGTAGTGCCCGAGGCCCTGAGCCCCACCTGCCTCCTTAGAGATGATGGGAAACTGGCCTTTTCCATCTGCTCAAGAGCTAAGCAAACAGAGCAGAGTCTTGACCCATTTAGAATGTG